AACGAACTTAGGAAGGTAACGATTCAATTATTGGCATTCCAAAGAGTTCTTCGCAGTGAACCACTTGGCAGAGGACCCATGAGCCTGCTTCATTTTGATTCTGCAAAACAGGCTTAAGGAAACCAGCTCGGTTCTCTAGGTTACCTCAGCTCACATAAAGGAAACCGTAGCAAAATTTAAGAAATGAGGGCCTCCAACGCAGGAGTTCACATCGACTGTGCGGGCGGCCGGTAAGTCGTCGCGGAAGAGAGGGGGAAGGACGTCCGGCTCGCCATGGAGTTAAACTGCTCTCGAAGGCAGAACTTTTTTCCTCTCGCAATTTTTAAACTGAATCACTAAAATGTCGTCGCATAGCAGTTATACCTTAGATCAAGAAAAGAACTTGCATTCCTTTAAACTGTACTGCGGAGCTCATGACTCCTGATAAACCTATCGTTTCTTAGTGAATTACAAACAACTTTTCCAGATTTACATGCTCGACTTTGGTATGGCCCGCAAATTTGTCAAAGAAGATGGCACGCTAAGAAACCCAAGGTACTGGTCATACTTCAGCCACTGTCTCTGGAAATGAGAGATCTTGTGAAGAGACATGAAAAGAAGCGCAGCCGGGACCGTTCTCTTTGGCATCAGTAGGACAAGCCGCTCTCTCTGCGCTTCAATCCACGCATTCTTACAGGCACTCTCGTCTGCAGAGATGATAAGTGCGTTCATTCTCAAGGGAATAATCGACCACAACATTCAGGGCACGTGCTGGATTCCGTGGAACCGTGAAATACGCACCGCTGGCGTGTCATGTGCATCGAGAGCAGTGCAGAAAAGACGACATTGAGAGCTGGATGTACATGCTTGTCGAGATTACTTGTGGTCGGCTACCTTGGAGAAATTTAACGGTATCTTGCCTTGGATTCCTTCATTACTCCAGGCAGAAGTCTTGCAAATAGTCACGGATTTCGAAGAGGAGTTTCCTTGCTGACGCTGTGGAAGTTATGACTCTGACCATCGCCGTCTATCCCATTAGTGGGATCACCCCGCTTCTGCGCTGTCGTCGACGGAAGGGCATTTTGTACTACCATTGCTTCCGCTAGAAGTTGCAGTTTAAAGATTCCCCTGAATAAAGGCCTTGTGAAACCCTTGTTGAACGCTGGTCGCAGATAGCTCCTAGCCACATCCTAAACGTGTTAATACTCGAGAAAAGGCTACCTAGATGGGTCACGCAGCATCTGTGAAAGCAGCAATTCCGCCGTCGACAAACTGCGCCCCTCCGCTTCATAAATCCGATATACGGGGCTCAACAATGATAAACGGGGTAGAAGTTGACACGCGCCGTCGTAAGCTGAAACGGGTTCGCAATGACCGTCATTAGCGAACTACGATGCCATCTTTTGGCAGCTCGCCTGCTATCAAACTTTTTTTCGGAGAATGTACACCTGTGACCCTTGCAAATGGGGCGTTTGAGGTAGCGTTGTATGGAGCGCAAGCTTAAGCTTTTACCGCCAGCCCGGAAGGGCTCATTTTTGCATCAGCTGGTGGAAAAAACCCCTCTTGCTGCGTTCCATTTCACACCTATCGTTTTCCTTGAAGAGAGAAACGACCGTCTCCTGCCAGGCGGTAAAAAGGATTATGGCAAGATGATTCGCTACTTTCGTCGTGAAATGGCAGCAATGGGCTAATGCACTTAGATAAGCGGTGAAAACGAAGTGAAACGGTTCAAAAGACTGCAGAAGAAAACGCTTTGTTTTCGTTTTTCGCGACTCCGAAAGCGAATTTGGACGAGTTTAAGCATCTTGCCAATAAGCGCTACGGTAGGTACGGCTGCACGTATACTCATATATCCATGCAGCACCGCGACCGCTTCATATCAATCCTTTCGCTTCATATTTTACTTAGCAAATGAAGCACGAGCATCAGGTACGGTCACCCATTTGTGAGCGAGCGGGCACGGTGAGCGTGGATCGGTGTGTTGCAGCTTGACAGGGAGTTATAAGATATCTTCCTTGGGATTGGAAAGCGCAGCGCCTACTCAGGGGTGCGGAATTCTGTCGTGCCACGCGTACGAACCCTACACGTCAGGGACTTACCGTCTCTTACATTTTGCTGCGTAATAGGCTTTTCTTCCAGCTAGCTTCTCGTTTCAAGCGACGTTTCTGCCTTTGACATCTGTCGTTCAGTAGTCATTAGTGCGACAACACTTTTTAGAAATCATCAGTTGAATAAATAATTAACTAAACGTGTCGTTGCGACGCGAGGTTTCTCCACTCCACATCTGTCGATCAGTACACAATAAGTATGGTAGCTCTGTTCAGGAGTCAAATGATGTCGGTCTATTCAAGAAAGATTGCAAAGGTGAACGCTACCGATGTTTGTTTGGCGGATGTCCACGGGAATATTTGGAAATATTCCCGATCCTTGACAAGGTTTTATATAATTTTCTGGCATTCTGCCAACAAGGATCGATCAAATAACAATTCAGGGCAAATTTTTCGACGCACCAGACTATCCAGCTATCTACA